GCATATTGCTCTCCATCGTTCACGTGAGGTACTTAGGGTTGACTATATGTTGGGACAATTTCCAACTAGTTGCAAATTTGTTGGTAGGTCAATAATGTAAACTCTCATGTTTGGCTACTTTTTTTTTTTTTTTTGGGTTACTTACTGGTCCCATAGAATTAAAAAAAATATTCATGATTTTTGGCATATTGTTATCAAATTTTTATTAATTGCGTTTTGTTTTCATAATAATGACTTGGGGAAAAAACTGCATTTTTTTTGTTATATATAAATATTTTTCTGGTGAGATACTGAAGGATATTCAAAAAAATAATATAGATATATATGGAAAAGATGTGGGGACGGGTTGGGCGCAAGGTTTGTCCCTTGCCAGTCCAAGCATTGATTGTCTTTTGGCAATACTAAGGTCAGGACTTGTTCCCATCCACACTGTAACCAATATTTCATCTGCCTAAAAATAACATTCCTTCCTGTTCCTCCCATAACTTGAACCAACATAATACAAAGAAAAAAATACACTGTGATCCTCATCACTCCATCCCCCCTTAATTACAACTCACCGTATCAGTTACCTAGCTAGCTCTCTTGGATACTTTAACTTGATATATATATAATTCTATTGCGCACGGGCACGGATGTTTCAAATGTAGAAGTATTATAATTTTGAAATTAGAACTCTGATATCAGGTTAGTCGTCTTATTAATTAATTCATAAAGAGACGTTTATGAATGTTTCAAATATCAAAGTATTATAATTTCTATAAGCAAAGTTCTAATATCGTCTTGTTTGTTAAGATGTTTACGAAAATGATTAAGACCATGGTTATAACTTATACCAAAGTGATACAAAAAATTGAAGCTCTGAGAAATTTGTGGTTTAACACGAGCCCTAGAACCAGAGAAATATCAAAGCATTAGAGAGTACATGCATGTGGTGGCTCAGATCGATTGTCCATTAAGTTGAGAGTACAAAGCAATATATATCGGTTATAATTGAGATGATCATTGGTTCAAATCAAGGTGTGTAGTGATGGATGGAAATGTGATGTGATCCTAAAATATTTGTGTGGCCAGCATGCAACGTTGAGTTGTACTACTGTGGCTAGACTAGCTGAGGTGCCACTACTATTTATTTTTCTCACTGGGGGCCGGATTGTGGAGTGAATTACTAACTTTGCAGATAGGGTTTTGACATCAATATGGGGTCTGTGTAGTAGCATTCCACACATCTCCTTTTGGTTTTGTCTTTTTTAACTTGTTTGTTTGGGTATCAAGAAGTCACGTGAATGTCTTCAACTCTCTCTCTCTCTCTCTCTCTCTCTCTCTCTCTCTCACCTGCTCTAGCCGATCTCTTCTTTTAAAAGAGCAACACCACTCTACAGCTTAGGCCCTTTTGCTTTTCTCTCTTTTTACTTTCTATGTCTCCCTCTACTTCTCCGACCTCTTCCACCTTTACTGGAGTAACATATAAGATTTGATTGACTAGCCTTCTCCTAATTTGCTAGCTTTCTCTCCCAATGGCTCCACCTTCCCCTTTTCTTGAGCTCAGTGGAGATGGCGGAGATCATGATCATCAATACCACCATCTCTTCAATCTAGAACCTCAAACTTCTTTCTCTTCTTCCTCCTTTTCCAGCCCCATATTCTTAACTCCATCTCAAGCCCAAGCACCATCCGATCACTATAGAGAACCACAAAACTTTCAATTCCAACTCCTAGAGGTACTATTACTATATAATTTAATTATGTGATCTCTATATCTTATTTGGTTTCCTGTACCTAATGAATTCTCTTATTTTTTAGGCTGATCATCATAATATTGTCTCGTATGGCGGATCATGTGATCACGACCCTCAAACCCTCGAAAACGAAAGTGGCAGTGGTACTATTCTGAAATTAAGCATTTCCAAGAATGGAGCTGGCAGAAATGGAAATCCAAGTACTGATAAGTGGATGTCTTCAAAGATGAGGATGATGAAGAAGATGACAAACCCGGATCAAACTTCGAGCAGCTGTACATCCAGCGATGATAAACCAGTTGCAATGAAGTTATCAATATCACACAAGTCTGAAGAGCAGAAGCCGCAGCATCCTGACATGATCAGCTGCAGCAACAATTCGTCAAACAACATGAACAACAACGTCCCAATTATTAGGGTTTGCTCTGATTGCAACACTACTAAGACACCTCTATGGAGGAGCGGACCAAGAGGCCCCAAGGTAATTCATTACTTAATCTTCTGTCTAATTTATTGCTACAACTATACAAAGATAAATAGTTAATTTGATAACTATTCTAGTTGAAGTTAAAATTTTCTTTCTTTTTATTTACTTATTAATTTGCACAATTATGGTGGAGCAGTCACTTTGCAACGCCTGTGGAATTCGGCAAAGGAAGGCAAGGCGGGCCATGGCAGCTGCTGCAGCGGCAGCAAGCGGCACAACCCTGGCTGCTGCGCCACCTATGAAGAGTACTAGTAAGGTGCAACACAAAGACAATAAACCAAGACTTGCTTCTACTGTCCCGTTCAAGAAAAGGCCGTACAATAAACTCAGCTCAACCCCACCATCAAAAGGCAGACCACCGAAGAAGCTTTGTTTTGAGGATTTCGCAATAAGCATGAACAATAACCATTCATCATCTGCCACTACCACCACCACTACTAGCCTTCAACGAGTTTTCCCACAAGACGAGAAGGAAGCTGCGATCCTGCTCATGGCTTTATCTTGTGGACTTGTTCATGGTTGAATTAATTTCGACACCGATGTTCGAGTTTAATTAGTCCACAACAAGTACTTCTTTTGTAGTAGTAGTAGTAGTATTTAGTTATATTATTATTAGGACTAAACCAAGTTCAGGTTAGAGAGAGTGTGAGAGAGTAACAAAATCAGTGATGATGAGGAACCGCATGAATTAGTTAGTTCAATAAAAACCAAAAAATAAACGAAGTAAATGTTGTGATGATGTTATGAGAGCTTATTAATTATATGGTGTTTTGTTTTAGGCAAGTAGAAATAGAATTCACCATGCAAATTATGGTGCTAGCTGCTTGTTCAATATAAATGTCTTGTACGTTGCGTTATCATTTTGATCAATTAATATTGTCATCCTGCATATATATAAAACTAATAAATTTTTCCGAAGGTTTGCCGCGTATATATACTCGTTTTGCTTTCCTTGTCCTCTTGTTGTTTGATTTCAGTGCTGCCCGCAGTTAGCTGGTACAAATCTTAGTTGTGAAGTGAAGTAGATAGGGTTTTTTCCATTTACTGTATCAGAGTTTATAATTGAAGAGGTACCATCGATCACTGACCAGCAATTAATGCCAAGTTCGGAATATAGTGTAGTGAAACAAAATATTTTTGAGTCACATGACCGTTAGAATTAGTGGATACATACTGCATATGCAGTAGGGCACGAAGATTGAGGGGTGCAGATCATCCCAAACATACATATGAGAGAGAGAGAGAGAGAGAGAGAGAGAGAGAGCTCTAATACACGAGGTTTAATAATCAAAGAGAACTTTAGGGAATATATATATAGGGTGTTTCATATGAGAAAGGAACAACTGAGCTTTTTACAGTCTACAGTTGATTTCTTTTTCGTTTTGTTTTGTTGCTGAAAAGCTTTATGGGCTTACTGGCTAAGCAATAATGACGTTGATGATTCAGAGTTGATATATATATATATATATGTATGTATGTATATAAATACAGCCTTTTGGGCTGGAAAGGTTGTCACCTAGAGGATCGTTTGTCTCAGACATTGTCTGGATTCGAAGTTGATATTGAATAGAGCTAGTAAGTAGTAGCAGCAGCAGCATAGTGGTACAAAGGAAGGAGAAGGACTAAACTTGTAGCATATACGTGAGTGTACAGTGACTCTTGAGCCCTAGCCACAGTTAAGTACTTCAAAGGGATAGATAAGTTGCACAATATCAGATATCATATAACAACTTCGAGTTGGCTCGCTCTGTGTTTTTGTTGGAGGCAAATGTGGTAATGTATGGGTAGTATGACTTTATATATATGAAGAAGGCATCTAGCTAAGTTCTCTTTTGGCAGTTCGAAATATTTTCAGATTCACTCACGCCGCACGGCAAAAAAGAAAGAAATTGGAACCCATTTTTCCATCCATCATCCTCGCCATTTGAGCTAACCTTAATGACAAGTTCATATAATCCGTTTAGACAATGACGTTAAATAATTCATCAAGAAACTTGCATCCAATGAAGAAAATGAATTGTGAAGATTTTCCAAAGGCTCAACCAATTGGTGTTAGATCACTCCCCAATAATATATCATGATCTATAGTAGGAATGGGACCACTTTCTCATGTTTTTAAATTTTAATTTTTAACCTTTGGTAAGGACAGGTTATTTTGTTTTCTCTGGTGTTGAAACTTGGGGTTCTTTATTCATGGAGGTTTTGTTGCTAGTTCCTTGTTCGCGAGAGAGAAAACAAAAAAATAATGCTCGCCAGAGATAAAACAAAAAAAGAGAGTGTTGGAAATAAAAATAAAATAAAATAACTTGATTTAAAAGTTTGATGACATGTTGTGTGTTAAGTGGTTAAATTATTTCAGTGACTTAGATTTATCGAAATTTGAGTAAATAAACGAAACATAAATGCAGAGTCTCAGAATCCCATATTTCAAATGCCAAAGGGAAAAGGAAAACAAATCAATTCGTGTTTTTGTGTTTAGACAATGGCAAACTTTGCTTGAGAAATAAAAAATTCTGTAAAAAAAGAAAAAAAAGAAAAATTAAATCATTAATAAAAAGAAAAGAAGAAGGAAAATTATTGAAAACATCCCCATGATCGACGACACGTACTTTTATCTAGGGAACATTGACTTTAACCATAAAAAAAGCATACCTTTATACTTCAACAAAACGACAGGTCGTACGTACTATTCCGACCTCATTTTTCTCAACATTTTGAAGTCCTAAATACGCGAACTCTTAATTTGGTAAAATTAGTTAATTAACGACCAGAGCAGACTGTTCGAGAGTTCTTCAACAGATTCCTTTCTTGGCTCTGCACAAACAGTCGAGTCGAGCCCAGAGAGAGAGAGAGAGCTCGAGCTAGCCCCAAATAGCTCTGACTCAAAAGCAAAAATGGCGGACCCACCACCACCACCATTACCGCCAAAGGAATTGCCAATCAATCGCTACAAGTTCATTTGGCGAGTCCTCTTGATCTCCAATCTTGCTCTCGGAGGTCAGCTTCCCCGATCCTTTTCGCCTTTACTTTCTGTGTGTTTCTTGAACTAGATTGGATTATGGCTTATGGGGTTGCAATTTAGAGTCTTTTATCAATTTTGGGTAATGGGTTATGTTCATCTAAGCAGAAGCTCCGTTTAAGTGATTTGGAACGCGTGTTTTCTCATTTTGGTGCACAATGTGTTTGATTTATTGACTCAGAGAAGCCTGTTATATAAATTTTGTCAAGCTGTTGTTTAACTGTTTCTTTAGGCTATGATTGTTTGATGGGTAATTTGTTCTCATTGTTGTTTAATGATATGATCGCATAATCTAGTTAGACTACGGGGAATCAATTTATTAAATCTGGAAGGCCGGGGATAGAGGTTAGATACTTAAAAACTAGCTGGAGTAAGTTGACATTTATGTGCAAATCTTAATTGGCGGAAGATTATTGATTTGTGAATGTTTGCCATCTATAGAAAAAGTGGTTTCATATTTCTTGGGCCAAGATACGAGCTGTATGCTTTTCTGTCTTGTGATCGACGTAAATCTTGCCAGAAGTATACATCCATTTGTCCTTTGGGCTTTTCTCTCTTAATCCAATCGTCTTAGATTATGCCGTATCTATTGAAAGGGGGTGGGTGTTGTTAAAGCAGGTTTTTTGGGAAAATATAATTGATGTGGAGAAGTATACATCCATTTATTCCTTTTGGGCTTCTCTCTCTCTCTCAATCTAATCTTATTGGTGTTTTCCCTATCTGTTAAAAGGGTGATGACCAAGTATACATCCATTGTATAAAACAAGAGTTGCTACTTTTGTTGTTTTGAAGATAGCCATCTTTGTATGAAATGCCTCTTCTATCTTTCTTATTTGCGAGTGGATTGAATGAGTTATGTGACTGGATCTCTGGTTTGATTTTCCCGTAGGAAGGATTAGTCCCCTCCCTACCCTGATAATGAGAGGCTACTGCCATCTGGACAAACCCACTTTCCATTCCTCTTTACCTTGATGACATGAAGCTAACTGGTTGGTGTGCCTATTTTGCCACTTCACCATTGAGTAATTGGGGTTAAACTCTTGATCTCTTAAGGTTCTATTGATGAATTCATCTCCTCAGTACTTAGTTTTACCTTTTCTTTTCTTTTATTGATAATTTGTCACAGTATGAATAACAAAAATTATAGTCAAACTCAAAAGTTAACTACAGTCTCATTCCTTGTGGAGTTGTGGTGGTTTCAAGTCGATACTATGACTCTAACTTCGTTGACAGGAAATACAGGATCTTACTGACTTGCATCTGACCTCTTGCAGCTTACATGTTTATTGGGGCTCGGAAGAGAGATATTGGCATAGTAAATAGGAAATCTGCAGAAACAGGCGCTAAAAATCACAAAGCTGAAGTTGAAGTGCCCTCTCCTCCTGCAACAACTACTACAAGTACAACTTCTGAGACATGGGATATGTGAAGGTGCAGCAGCCTGCCTATCCCTGGAGACCGGCAACAGTAACATTTCAAGTAGACGTTAGAAGGGAAAACGAATTCAAAGTCAAGGATCCTGAAGAGAATAATTGAAATGATGAAGAAAAGACAATCTTAAAAGTTTTATCCGTGCAAAATCCGCACCAAGCTTTTAATTGGTGCTTCTCTTTACTGACAGAAGCTTATACAGAGAAGTTTTGTTTCAAAGTATAGACCATCGCACTTAGATCTTGTTATGTTGGGAGATGGATAATTTTGGCTTGAGTAACATGTTTGCAGCAGATTACATGCCAATTTTTGCTCGATATAAGGATCCCTTGTCCATGAGAATTATCTGTATCTTCTTACATTGGGAATTTGTTGCAAAATATTAGATTATTTATTTCTTCCCAAATACTTAGTGTGGAATTAATGGAGAAAAATTCATTAAGATTACTACCAATGAAGATCATTAGCCTCCGTTGGGAGCCCGACCAGTTGTTAGGCACCCAAGGACAAAAATTAAGCAAACAACAAGAGTGAGAGAGAATGAAAGAAATAAAGATTTTGTCATTTTGCCTTTCGAGGGCTTTGAGTTTGAGACTTCGACGTGGTTAACAATTAATAGAGGGCTCCACCATTGCTGTGTCCTCCAACTCCCTCCTCTAACGATATCCACACTTCCCATCCAATCCCATCTGCCCTCTTCCAGGCTTGAACCATTCATCCAAATTTCAAAGCTAATTGAAAAAAAGAAAAAGAAAAAAAGAGAGGAGAATTTTGCATACTGGCCCTGGTCTTGCACAGGTAACCTCCCATTACGAATCTTTATCTCTACAATGCCAGGAACCATCCTAGTTTCAGGTACCAACTAACAACTAAGTTTTCAACTGTAATTCAAACATGGGCATGGCAGTTATGTTATGTCTAACATAAATATTAACTTTTTTCTTTCATATGAATATTGAATTCCACTTCAGTTCTTGAATTCATGGACCTTCCATCTTCATCATCTTCTTCCTCAATATCCATAAAGGGTAAGCAATTATTTATCCTCTGAACTCAGTTTCCTTCTTTAAATGTCTATCTAAAAACTTCAACAATTTAACAAAGTTCTCACTGTATACATATGCACTTGCAGTTTCCATGGGGAAAAGAGAGTGCCAAACTTGGGACAAGGGAGACTTCACCTTGTAATAATCACAGCAGAACTTATTTTAGTCCTAAAAATGCTATTGTTATTGGTTGGATATCTAATTAATCCATGTTGTGTTTATTAACAGCCCATTGACGACCCTTCGTGACAATTTGGTTGTTCTTCTTCAAGATGCCGAGGGAAATGAGATATTAGATGCAGGTTTATCTGTCAAACAATCCCATATATATAACTAGATGAACCCTTTTATCAATTCTAAAACTGAGGCAGATGAATATATGTATGATCATGTGTGGATCAGGTGTTGAGACCAAGTCCATAGTCGAGAAGGGTCTTTGGGACTCTTTCTTTCCCCTCAAAGGAGGTGGGTTGGTGCATATGAAGTTAAAGTTTGTACTCAACGAAGAAGAGCGCATCCGAATCCGTTCGATGGTACTCTTTCGTGGTTCTGATTTATTTTTAATGATAAATTTCAGTTTGTACTCAAAAGTTGTTATTGTTGTTGGCATTTACTACATCCTCTGAACTTGCTTGCAGAGAGAATCTGCACTAAAAAAGAAACTTGGGGAGTTTACCTATAGCAATCCCGGTAGTGTGCAAACTACTCCTGGTGCTGGGACAAATCTTGCATCATCTTTGTGCCTTCCCAATGAGATCTCAGGTTCGATCACCCAACAAGAAAATTATAATTTTTTTTTTTTGGGACAGAAAATTAGAATCTTCAGGCAGAAAAAGGTAACATAACAAGAACAGTAAAGTAACATAACAAGAACAGTTAAATAGTCTGACAAGTCCTTAGTTTCAATATGGTATCAGATTTACCTTTCTTGAATGACTCTTTGGAAAGAAGCCATAAGCATTGAAAAGATAGTAATTGGGATTGGAAGCACTCATCATGATCAGAAGTAAAATTAACACAATTTGGATAGTGGAATGTTTCCACTTTAAGTAAAAAGAAGCTTGAAAGGTACGTTCACGAGTTCTTTTAATGATCATTTAACGTGTTTTAGAGTGATGCAGATAGAAATGAGGAGACTTCATCAGGCATTACTCTGCATCAGAGGGTTGACCTCCCTCTGACTGAATCATGTCAAGGGAAATTAGTTGAGGAGACTGAGGCACAGCCACTTCCTGCTAATGTTCCAGCCAAGGCCAAATATGCTAGTGAATCTCCGAAACTATTAAGAAGCTCACAATCAATGGTTAGCGCAATAAGTCTTCCTAATCTTCAGGAAGATAAGCCTCATAACCTCGAGAAGCAGGGTCCAATCCATAAAACTCCTAGCAATGTAAAGAAAATGATAAGTGCCTTCGAAAGTGGTTCAGCTGAGGTATGTCTGCATGTTGCTTTGAAACAGATATCCATATGTCATTGCAAGTGGATATAACTTGTTTTTTCCATGAGCTTGATGCATACTGTTTCCTTCACGCACAGGATATGAGGCCTTGCATCAAACCGCCATCAAAAGAAGTTCAATCGAACAGTATTAAAGCAGGAGCTCCCCTGAAAATCCATAATTTAAAAGAAGACAAGAAAGTGGATACAGAAACTGCAAAGTCAATATTAGAAGGGGTTGTGAAGTCTTTTGCTTCAGGGGACTTGCTACTTGACCCAACATCTGGTGATAAAAGTGGTGAGCAAATTAATTTACTTGGAGCTTCAGATGGGACTAAATCATCGCATCCCACTGTGATAAAAAATAAAGTCAAACTATTGCATGTACATCAAGAAGTTGGCATAAAGAAAAAGAACTTCCACAAAGATTTCATTACAACATCAAGATGTGAAACAGTTCAAGTTTCAGAGAAGATTCTTAGTAAGCATAGGCACCAACCAAGTAATACGGGCCATGGAAGGCGAAATTCTGGTGGCATTCCGGTTATAGAGGAGAGTCTACTAGAAATTTCTTCCCGAAATATTTCTCAAATCATCGACATTCAAGAAGCTTCAACTAGTGCCAATGTGTGTACATCAGTAGTAAACTGTGAAGATAGGCAAATTCCCTTTGAGAGCTCTGGTGCCTGGATATTCCCAGATGAAGCAATACGTTTCTGCATAACAACTAGTGGTAAAAAATTAATGGATTTACTAGGAGGTTGCAGAGAGAAGCCAAACATCCAGCAAGGAAGGATGAATGTTTCTCTACCAGAAAATTCAGAAGAGGTACATGAATTTGAAGCATTTTGATTTGATATATTTGATTTAACTGTATCTCAATTAAAACTTTCGGCACTTCATAGTGAAGGAAAAGATTATTATTGACATGAGAATGATATTCTGAACGGCTTTAAAACTTCAAATGACGCGATTTTCGTTGTATCGAACATGGTGTGGTGGACCATTGAACTAGTGTTCTAACAGTCTGATCATATGTAATGTTCATGCCATCTTTTTTAGCAGAATGTGAAGAATCAGAGACCAAGAAAATCAACGGTTGATCATCCAGAGGAAGCTGAAACTTCTGGTGGGAAAGTTGGACAGGTTAAAATTCCTCTCCTAAATTCTTTAGTGAAATGATTTATAGTTCTTATGTGACTTCTTCTCCTCAAGGCTAAGATTTAAGAGAGAGTAAGACTACAACTAACAAAGAAACAGAGTGCAAAGTGTTAGGGAAGTAGTGCCGATATATAATTTCTTCATTTTAATCCTCCCATTTCTCTTATCAGGCAATAAAAGTTGCAATCATGATTGGCTTTGGCACACTAGTTCTCCTTACAAGACAAAGAAAAAACGGGTAAGTATATTGTTTTTTTATATAAAAATGTAACAAGATCAGCAGATGAAGTTTCTCCAAGGGGTTGGGTGTATTTGCTGACTTGAATGGCCATTTTACGTAATTGCAGATGAAATTAACCTACAGATGCACTTTGGGTGAGAAGATTTTGGAACCACCATATGTTTGTTTTTTAATACGAAAAGTTTAGAGTAATTGTCCCTACACTCGCGGCTGTGTGCCTATTTTGCCCCTCCTCCAACTCTTCATTTGATAAGTTGTTAAAAAAAAAAAAAAAAAAAAAAACCCTCTTTCCATGCGATTAAAATAGTTTTTTTTGTTGTTGTTGTTTTGAATGCTGAAATTATCATTTGAATAAATAATAATAATAATAATAATAATAATAATAATAATAAACCCTCTTTCCATGCGATTAAAATAGTTTTTTTTGTTGTTGTTGTTTTGAATGCTGAAATTGACATTTGAATATATATAAATAATAATAATAATAATAATAATAATAATAATAATAATCACGAGTAATATAATATCTCACTTGAACAACATCCAAACAACAATAATCACTTGGCCAAAAAAAAAAAAAAAAAAAAAAAAAATTAACAAAAAAAAAATCTTTTTATTTGCGGATTCGCTCTCTTGTCTAATTATGGCCTCTGTGTGTGCCAATCTTCATGTTCAGTTTGAAAATAAGAAGCTGCTAAAGACATTAAAAGAATCTTCACGTCACAATAAAAGTTAATTTCATTGTAATGCAGGCCCGGTTCAATCATATCTAAATAGAGATCCTTGATTTGGGGTAGATGTGTCAATGAATTGACTAATAATCTTCCCAGCTTTGAGTTTATACAATCTTCTTCAGACCGTTTCAACATCAAATATAAAACCTTATTATATTTTGGGTTAATTTCAATTTAGTACTCAAAACTCTTACTTTTAAGACATGTTTGTCCATGCACTCTCAATTTTAATGATTACATACTCTTAAGCTTTTCAATTTTATGCAATCTGGTTCATCCGTTAACTTCATTGTCAAAATTTATGTCAATTGTTTGTGTGACAACCCTGGGTCCCATCTATTTCTTTATTTCAATGTCAATTGAAGGGTATTTTGTTAAAGAAATAGTTTGGTATTAATGCGTGTAATGTGTTCATGGTCGAGAAGATATTAGTTACTCGAAAATACTCTTCAACTGATGTCGAAATAAATGAATAGGTGAGACCCATGCCTGTCATACAAGCAATTAACAGAAATTTTGATGTTAAAGTTAAAACCGGAATCAGATTGCAAAAAAGTGAAAAACTTAGGGTATGTAATTGTTAAAATTGATAGTGCACAGACAAACGTGCCTTAAGAGAAAGAGCAGATCAAGCTACTACATCGAAATTAATCCTTAATTTTTTCTTACAAAATACAATATGCTTTGGAAATGACCATTGACCCTTGCATGTGGCAGCATCACACAGATGACTTAACAACTTAAATTATTATATTACAAGAAAAAGGCTTGGGCAAAAGAGGATCCAAGTGTGCTATTGTGGTTTTATTATACTGATAGAATTTTCTCTCAGATAGAGCTCTCTAACTCTCAAGATTCCTCACTTTCTTTTCTTCTCTCAGTTGAGTGTGTTATCATTTCTCCTTTTTTCTCTCTGCATGGCAATGGAGAGATGAAGCTTTCAAATAGACTGAAGCACCCGTGATGTACGGTTGGCTGCAAGGGAAGATGGCAGGCAAATTCCTTCATTCTTTTCTTTATGTGGGCTCAACCACATTCTTTACAACATGTCAAGTCTTTTCATTTCTTTAGTTGATCACTTGCTCGCCCAATGACAGTTGTTGATTAATAAAAATTAAGAAATAAAACTATAACCCGAGGACCATAATTTGAGTTAGTTATTGTTAACTTTGTCACTGTGTCTCAGATTTTGTTGCTCTTCGTTTTCTCCAAATCCCTCCTCTCAGCTCTCTCTCCTACCCAGTGCTGCATGCAAGTTTCAATATAATGTAGCTATATTCTCTCTTACACACACACACACATATATATTTTGTCAAGTTAGAAGGGGCTTCAGTCTCTTCACACTTGGGACAGGAAAATTCTCTAAGTTTCACTTCATATTTGCAGCAGTATGTACTCTAATTAACTCTAGTTTAACAAGAGCGAGCTACCTGGTTTTTTGAATAATCCGTACAATTGAGAGAGAGGATACAAACAAGCTTGAGATATGATCAAACCGGTTCAAGATGTGTCAATTGAGTTGAGGTTAAGTTCTTTACTTAACACCTTTTTCTTTTTCTTTTAATTTTTTTTAGAGGAAACTTCGATGGTATGAGGACTATATTAGGTGCATACTTAATTTATTTTTGTGAAAAATCACTTGAATCTGATGTAATTTTGTGTATATAGATAGAGCTTCCATTAAGGGATCCCTCAAATAAGTTTATTTGAGGGACACCCTTGTAGAGCCCACTCAACATTGCATTTCACTAATCCAAACTATCGATTTTGTAGATATTCATTGAAAGATCATCTCTACAAAAATCCACTTAAATCCAATATCATTTGACCACTTAATTAAATTATTAAAATTCAAGTACTTTCTTAAAGCACCATATTCATTGATTTTGTTGGTCTCAATTAGATACCTTAATGATTTTAATGAAGATGTGAAAAATAGATGATTTGGATTGTTAAATTTTTTTTTTCTTCGTAAGGGACCCTAAAGGGTGTCCTTCAAATAAAATTATTAGAGGAATCTCTCAATAAAAAGACACTATATATATATATATAGTTGTTATGAAAATTCTATTTTATTGCTTGATTAATTATATGGGCCTTTCAATATAGACTGAAAATAATTGCTGTCAGATTTGTTGTGAAGAAATCAGCTGTGAGAGAAAGTAGTTTGGCATTTGGTAAACTTTTTGTTAAATATGTTGTTGGTACTAATTCCTGCATAATCAGAAAATAATTCCCGCATAATCACTAAATCTAACGCCTCTTCAAAATTGATTCTTGTATAATCAGAAAATGAAAGCACCTTATTAGCTGCTTTTCCTTATAACTTTCTCTCACAACAATTTTTAATAATAAGTGATTTTCTCATAGTTTATCAAACATGCTGGGCTTGTCAAATTTTTTTTTATAAAACACTTATCACCCCAAATAAGCAATACCAAACGGGCACTTAGTTTTTATGATTATTTTGCCTTTGAAAGTAAATAATAGAAACACCTTAAAAACACTTTATTTTTTTATACAATTAAAAGTGCTTTATATATATAGAACACACATAATTAATTTACGTATGATCTACCTAATCAAAAGGTGAAAATGAAGAACATATACATACATGACGAAAAATATGCATGAATGTTAAAATTATAGTATATATTATATTCATCACTTGTATATACTTGTTAGAAGTGCATATAACCGATATATATACTTAATTTTTCTTTCTCTTAGACGCGATTATATATTTGTTAATTTGTTGTGTCTTGTTTAATAATCTAGATGGAAATATTATTTTAGAGGAGGGGGACACAGAAGTACGAGTAGTGTTGCAGCAAAACGACCAACTAGAGGAAGAACAATTCGTGTCCTCTATAGGTATTAGATGCATGAGACAACTGATATATGTATATGCATTATAAAGTGGATTGAAAACATCCCACATAAATTTCACATTTGTAGATTACACTAAAAAAAAAATTTCACAAGGAAAGACTTACAGGTAGATCCAGTAATATTGCACACGATTCACTAACACGACACGAATTTGCAAGAAAATATCAGTATTTGGGTTGGCCTTATTAGGTTGGGTTGATAATGGGTGAACCCGTTAAGCACCCGTTATCTTAACGGGTCGTTTCAGTATAATTCGCGAATGACCCGTTATTAAGAGCAAGGGTATTTTTGTAAATACATTATAAAATAAAATCCCTAGCTAACCTAACTATCTTTTCTTTGCATCTTCTCCCATCTTTCTCTTCCTCCTCCTCCTCACTCACTGACTTAAACATACCCAAATCACTTTCTCACTCTCAAGTCACGTTCTAAACTCTTTTGTTCTCCCTAGATATTCTCACCAACCAAACAACAGGCTACCTTCATATTCTCTCTAGATATTCTCTCCAACTAAAGGTATGAACTTCCCCGTATTTAAATTTTGTGTCATTTTTTTTTTCTGTGTTGTCTTCCTTTTTCGCTGGTCTTGGTCTGTTTGTGTGTGTATTCTTTATTTGTTTTACTGGCAGATGGAAGATATTGAGACTACCAATGGGAATCGTGGATGAGGAATTTGTCGTAGTTTCAATGGATGGTGTTTCATATACTGAAAATGCAGAAGATAAAGATTCAATTTGAGATTCATTTTGTCTAAGTTTTTTTTGTTTTTTCTGTTTTCCAATGTGTAAGATGTATTTAAAGATTTCAATTTTTTTCTTTCTTTTTCAATGTGCCAAAAAAATATTTTTTATTTTTTAAAAGGCTGAAGCGGATGAAACGGGTGAAAACACGATCCATTAGTCATAACGGGTCGTGTCGAGTTATTCGCGAATTTAAACGGGTCGTGTTTGGGTCTAGTATATCTCACCCATTAGCTTAACGGGTTGGGTCGTGTTAACCCATTTTTCTTAACGGATTGACATGAACACGACCCGAAACTAACAAACACGACCCGTTTGCCAGGTCTACTTACAGGTCGCCTCCTATCTGCTTATTGTTACTTTTTTTAAACAATCAGAGAAGATGAATGCAATGAGCTGGGAAAAGATAAGAGCAACGTGTTATCTGCATTTAAGAGAGAGAGTTGCTCTGCTTTAATAAAGCTGAACATTTTCATCTTTTTTTGGGCCATAGAATAAGAAATACTTTCTTTAATTTTTCGACTTTTTTTGGCTGCCCAGCAGAAATCAGACATGCCTATTTTCATTTGTCGCATAAGTGTATATATTTTTGAAAAATTCTCTCTTTCTCTCTCTCTCTCTCTCTCTCTCTCTCTCTCACAGAGGGTTAGCAAGGATTCTCATTAGGACTAGATTAAAATTTGATAATTATATCTAACTTTTAGTTTTCCACATAGACCATATGCAGGAGTCAACATTATTTTGTGGAACTGTCTTTTAAGATGACATAAAACAAATGCTTAATTATGTACATGTCCTCTGTGCTTTCCAACTTATCTCAGATTACCACCTGTGTTTGCAAACGGCTCAAAGTACCCACCAACGTTTAAAAAACCGTCTCATGTTACCCTTTCCGTCAGTTTTTTTGAAGTTCCGTTACGAATGTTACTGTTCATCCCCCCAAAATTCCAGAACAGCAGCCCATCCCCTTTGTTAATGTTCATCACTTATTTACCCTCCAAAACTCAGAAATTTCTCATAACCAACACAACTAGCAGCAAGAACAGCTCGAGAGGTTGAAAAACCATACCTGGATCGAAGCAAATGGTGCTCGGAATCGCCCGAACAAGCAATGGAGATTTTGGGTAAAAATCGGCTAATTTCTTGCTTTTTTTAGCGATCCAGACGGCGGTTGGTAGCGGATGAGATGTGAGGGTGGTAGAAAACAACGTGCTGGTTCTTTTGATACCCATGTCGTCGCTTGGGGTGGCCGGAGGAGGAGATGGCAGCCCAAAAACTGGTCGGATGAACAGTAACAAAGGGGATGAGTTGCTGTTCTGGAATTTTGGGGGGGATGAACTGTAACGTTCATAACGGAACTTCAAAAAAAAAAAGACGGAAAGGGTAACGTGAGACGGTTTTTTAAACGTTGTGGGTTACTTTGAGCCGTTTGCAAATACATATGGTAATCTGAGATAAGTTGGAAAGCACAGGGGGTATGTACATAATTAAGCCTAAAACAAATTAGAGACATTAATCACTGTTCAAACCAGGCAATCATTCAAAATACAATCCCTAAAGCGAAGGGGGCCAGTTTCCAACTAGTAGGTCAGGTCTCTAGCACAAAGACGCAAATAATTAAGCAGGAAGCGTAGTGGAATCAAATTTTTTTCATCTTAATGGGCCATACTTGAAATGGAATTCAGACATTTATCTTCTCTCTTTTTTTTTGGTGCCAAAGGACAAAGTTTCCTCTCCGTCCAAATTGTTCCTCTCTTTTTCTCTCTGCTCCACCCTGTACCCGTATAAATTAAGCTAATTTGTATAAGTCTCAATGCACTTCTTATATAGGAATCATCTCTGTAGTCTCAGGTTATTAGCAGGGGGCTTCTCACTAGGACTACTAAAATTTGATAATTATATCCAACTTTTAGTTTTCCGCACACATATTTGACTATTCGCAGGGTTCTTATAACAAGCTCCCTACTGCTGCTCATCAATAAGCTTGAGTTATGGGGGTCTCCAATCATGACTCAACAGCCGTAAGGTTAGTTTTTGCTCCCTTTGATTCCTGATTGAAAGGTTAGTTTCTTTCTCTAACTTCTAAATTATCTTATTTCATTTAAACTCAATCACATACAGTTGTCCCCATCCAATACACTAACGCCCAAAACGACAGCAACCACGCCAAAATTCTACAAGAAACAACAGCCACACCCATGACCACGCCCCATACTCCCACGCCCACAACCACACACCATGTATTTTCTATTATCCTTCTATGTTTTCTTTCATATTTACATTAGCATCTGCAGAGTAATAACGTGCGGACATCCAAATGATAAATATATATATATATACACACGTACTCATGACATTAATTTGATAATTCTTTAACTTCCACTCTTTTCCATATTTGGCTACTATTCGCAGGAGTACATATTCAATAATTTGGAGTTGTGGTTTAACAAGAGCGAGCTACTTGGGTTTGTGAATAACTCGTACACTTCAGAAAAGATCTTGCGTCATAAATAAGCTCGAGATATGATCGATCCGGTTGATAAAGTATCAATTGAGTTGAGGTTAATTTCTTTATGTACTCTAAGACCTTTTTCTTTTTCATTTTTTTGAGAAGATTTTTCTTTTTCATTAAGTAGATGTTTTATGAAACAATAGGGTCTCGCATTTGCAGTGGCTTAAACATGTTTTATTAGGATCTTTCTTCACCTACGTATCGTAGGTGGCTTTAATCCAATCCACCATGACCAATTAAACAACTTTTCTACTACACAATACCACTACACTATGCACATATACATTGGCGTAAAGACTTGTAATGGTTTATGCAATATTAATACATAATAATAATAGTATTAGTATAATAATGTATGGGCAGTATAAAATCTTTAAAGATAAACTAGTCTCTTGGTATACTCATCCTTGTGCCTATTGATTTATTGATTTTATAATTTAGTAAATTAAATTAAAAGTTTGAAAAGAAAACTGAAAAGTGAGCAATGTGGATTAAGTGGGGAGTGACTGCTTTCATGTAATTATTTAGGTGGAATTTGTTTTTTATTTTATAATTTAGAAAATTAATGTTTACTATTTTACCCTTATTATATTAGATTATGATGTTCTAGCATTTCTATTATGCAAGGACATAATAAGGGTTTTGAATGTTTCACCGATTGAGGCATTTGTCTTCTGACATCCGGACGTTATTAATGTGCGAATGTCATATACTTTATACTAATCCTCCTTACTTTTCTCCCAATTTTCAATTTGCATGATTTTTTGTAAGGATGATCTTTGAATGAATATGTGAAAAATAGATAATTTGCATCGTTGAATTTTTTTTCGTAGAATACCCTAAAAGGTGTCCCTCAATTAGAGGGGACTATACATATAAAGGGAAAAATCTATTTTTATTGCTTGATTAATTATAGGGCCTTTCAATATAGACCCAGTCAACGACCAAAATGTTAAGAAAAACTCTTCTTGAAATTGGTACTTAGGTGACAAATGGTAGATTTAATTACACAACCAAGACAAAACAACTCAGCAATCTTCACACACTTTAAACCTTGACCAAATACACGTATGACTAGTCAACTGCTAGTCATGAACAATCACAATCAAGAGAACACACAGATCATACCACAATGTACCTGCAACCCTAGAAGATTACTAGTGACAACCTACGCACTCAGAAGGACCCATCAATCTAGGCATCCCCTGTGCTAGCAACAACTATGTGAAAGTGTGTGAAATCATCAAAATCATGCAAACATCAAACAGCAGATAAAGATGACTAGTCAACCATCAAGAACACAAACCCAGAAAAATTACAGATATGCAAAACAGATTTTGTTCACCCAGAAACCCACCATTGGGAAAAACTGGGAGTCATCAACCGACCAGGCAATCCACTAAGTAGAAAAAGATTCTTACAAAGGAAATACAACCAAGCTCAAGATTCACCTAGGTCAATTTAGGAATATGAGCAATACCTCCTTTGTGCAATCTCCTTCTCCAACTTAGCAAAACTTGAAGCTCAGTTCTTCATGGCAATGGCAGCTCCTTCTCCAGCTCGTTCATCCCATGGCACAAGCTTGCAAGTTCCAACACGAACCAAGAACAATATTTGGATTCAAAGGAGAATGACCAATTTCTTCAAGAAACCATACTCTTGAAGAAATCAGTCTTGAATCTGACCTAGATATAAATGAGAGATGATTTGAATAGCTAGATGCAGATTCGGGTTTTCAAAAGCAGTTTTTCAAAAAGAAATCAATTGGAAAAACTCATAGATGAAAAATATATGGTTCTCTCTTGAGGAAGAAGAGAAAGAAAGAAAAAACAATCTTTCAAAAAATTCCAAGCAAAAGAGACAGCCGCCAAATGACCAAAA